TCGTTGTGTTCACTCCCCGGGGAACTACTTCGAGGGTGATGGATGAATTTAATACCTGAGATAAGTGTACGGGTTTTTATAGGCGCAGTCTAGAAACTTTCCGATCGCACCTCGTATTACAAGTAAAAGCAAAGATGTTCTACTATACGCCATATAGGCGCTTGGGGGGAGAGGAGGTATAGCTTCTACTCATTCTTAACCTCGCCTCTAGATGGGGGAATGGTCAGCGTCACGCCTCGACCGCGCTTTAGCCCGGGGAAATGAGCCCGGTGCCCATTGGATAGGAGGCTGGCTGCACCCTAGAGTCTGTCTGGCCGCAGAGACTAAAGGAAAAATCCATTGCCCCTGTCGGGGTTCGAAAACCAGTCGTCCGGTCGATAGTCAATCACTGTAATGCCAGAGCTATGTTGCATCTCCAATTTTATAACGTTTCTTTGCATATACGCTGCTAAGAACTAAATGGCACCCTAAATATCCTAAAATAGCCTAGTCCGAGTGGTTATTATAAAAATCCGTAGTACAACTTCCTTCGGAGGGGAAGTAATGCCGGCGGTCCCATGTCGTAGATTTACGGCACGTAAAAGAACCTTACGTGCATGATACGAGATGTTTCGTAAGCAAAATTCAGCAGCCATTTCTCGACCCAAGTCTCTCCTGATTCACTACTAGATGGCTCTGGCAGTCAAAATCAGGATTGAGTAGAAATTGTGCAGAGTCAGTGAGCTGGTCACTCACTACTCATTAATGCACACTTCAAAGACACAGAAACCTCCCATATTGGAGGAGGCCAAGACTGGAGTGGTTGTTAGGTTGTTTTGGAGAGCTGTATCAGCTGTCACATCGCAACGTCGTATTAAATATCATAAAATTACTGTCATTAATGAATACGAGGGAATGTGGGGAGAAACGGTTGTAGCATTTTTGATTTTCTTGACATTCTGAAAATAAATATCATTTATTTCCCCACATAGTATTAATCAGATGTTTGTAAAGGAGTTGCATTGTATTTGCTTGTTTTTTTTATGTGGAACTTATTTTTAAATATTATGTACATTGACTTCAATGACCGACGGTGGTATAGCGGTCAGAACGCTGGCCTTGTAATCCTGGGGTCTCGGGTTCGATTCCCGGCGGTGCCCGAATTTATAACTTGTGTTGGGCAAGGCCGTGGTCTAGGCACGAAACATGTCGTCCAAAAACAAAAATAAAAGCGCTGAATAATGTAATGTCGTACTACGATAAAGGAGCGCCATAAATATAACATAATATACTTTATACTGTAAATGTTATAATATTTTAACAACATTATTTTAAATAAGTTTGTGTATAGACTGTTAAATAAATATATGTATTTATTTTTAAATATTATGTGCATTGACTTCGTGCTTCAAAGGATTAAGTTACTGTCCCAGAAATTTGTCTGTAGGAACTGAGGAACAGCATGTAAAACCTTTGTTGGGTTTTGGGTCGCCGGCCGCATTTAGAACCAGTTACTCCCAAAAAAGCGAATTACAAAACTTGGCTCTGTGCCAACTCCGTCAGAACCGAGATCTCGCGAGACTGTGACGATCCGATTACAATGGAGTTTTAAAACATGGGGATCATCCTCCATTTTATTACACATTTGCTTTGGAATTACATCTTTCAGAGGTTTTAGAGTTTCAGAAATTATCCCTTTTCAGACAGAATTATAAAACAAATAATATATAGTGGAAATGCAAGTGTTTATCTGCCTTAACGTCTCAGTTTAAGGGGAACGGCTGTCTGCTGACGTTACACGTGAACCGAAGGGTTCGTAAATAGAACCTCTATCGGATACTTTATATGAATCTTTGTCTCCAACGTAAGAACTTTATTTGCCGTAATCACGAAATAACTCTGCTAGGTCGTTATTTTAACGTCATTCGTGGTACATTTATTTATTATTATTTATTTAGTGTTCTGTCTGACGACAGGTCCATATGAACAGGATCCTTCCATCCTTTTCTCGGACTGGGACCTGTTCATATACGTTCTTGGCAGATGATCCAGAAGTGGTTTGCCATTGCCTTCTTCTGTGTGTGAATGGAGTAATTGTTGGGATGCCACGGAGAAACCGGGGAAGGTAGAGGGTATAGAACGAAGCTGTCGTGGCCTGTTTTGAGGTGTAGTCTAAGAATATTCCTGCAGGAACGAAATAATCTCTCTGAAGTCCCCAATCAGGATGGACTACCTCCTGGTGCAGTTTCCGATTCCAAATACGAGGAAGCAGGACTGCCAACTGCCGTACCACGAGCCCCTGTTACAGTCACGTGGTATTCAACTGGGACTTAGTGTATAGGAGATCAACAGTCTAGCTTGATGGGCTTCGTGACTTATTTTGGTGCCTCCAGGATTATGGGTGCAACAAAATTTTGAAACGTAATTCACGTTCGGTATAATTTTGTATATATTTTTGTGTCATGAAGTGTCATATATAAAACGACAGGGTGTAATAACGGGCTTGAATATTTTATTTATTTATGGTTGATTTAACTACGGTCAGTAGCTTATATAGTTCTGAGTAGAACGAAAGGATGATTAATTAAGTGGAATCGTAATAAAGTGGAATCGATAGACCCTATGGAAGGAAGTGGTTGTGGCCTGATTTAAGTTACTGTCTCGAATTTGTCTTGAGGGACTGGATAACATTTTTGTATTCGGGAAGATTGGGGTTAAAATTTCGGTCTCTGGGCTGAGACTTGAACCCGGGGTCTCCCAAATACGAAATAGGTGGCCGGCCACTCATCAGCGACGTTCGGTAGGTCTGTGGACTTTAATTTTGAAGGTGGTAAATCTTTTTCGCGCTACGTAAAGGTAAATTTTCTGACTACTAAATTATTATCAGCTAGTACGAAAGTGAAATCATGAACTATTCAGTCACGTGGTCGTAATTGTCTTACCTGTGCGCTGGCTGCTGTGTGGAGTACACGGAAGTGCTTCTCGTGTCTCTCTTTTTTATTTCATCTCTCTTATTGAATTTTGTATGGGCACTAGGACAGTAACGTAACATAGAATATTTAAGCCGACCCTTAAAAATTTATTCCAAAACAGAAGTACTGTATGTCAAGAATTTCGGCTCCATCCGAATTGGTTATGTAGAGAATGTCTGACATTCTGGTTCAAAAACATTCGGGTGTCTTCAAAACATATACATTCTGTAGTAAGTAGATGCTTAACCCAAACATTTTAAGGTGAAAATTACTTTTTATAATTATTTCTTGCTTTTATACCAATACATCGAACACCATTGTCGAGCATTTTGTCTGTATTCTCGCAAGGCCCTGGGTTCAAATCTGAGCCCGGAGACACATATCCTCATTTAAGGTTTTGGTGGTTTTTGTCAGACGCTCCAAACAAATTTTTATTTTATTATTCCACGCCCGCTTTCTTCCACATCTTTTCTAATTCATTCATTAATCGTCCCATTATTTCATGTTACATAGCCGAAGCAGTTGACAAAGCTTCGTTAAATAAACCAGAAATCAATCATCGCTAAGTCGATACACAAAGAAGACGTCTTCGTAGGTTGTCGTACGACTGCAGAACAAATCTTTTAAATGAAACTTAAAACGTGGTAACTGTGCCAGTAAATCTCTGTTCACCATCCATGTGTTAAGATGGAGATTTGAAGATTTCTGTCTTCTGGGTTGTTGCGCCGTGTAGTCTGGTAGAAGGTCCTTGCTACCCCCATCATCAGGGTGATGCATCGCTCTGATGATAGAGGCAGCAAGGACCCCTGAAACGTTGGTAAACTTCTACCAGACTACACGGCGCAACAACCCAGAAGACAGAAATCTTCAAAATCACCGCCGTGAAACCTCAAATTCTACGCAAGGAGATTTGTCTTCAGTTTTCCATACGCTTTTATGAATCTTTACCTTACGGTTTGCTTCAAAACTTGTCGCAGTCGTCTTCATCTCTGTGGTTTGGATCTCATTTAGAACGTTCTTGTATGTGTATTCCAGTGTCAACAAGCATTGAAAACAGACATTTTCTTGTATGTTACTGCTTAAATTAGACACATTCTATTTTGTTGGTCAAATTAACACGCGGACTCTTTAACTGTTGAACAGGAGTTTGGTCGCCATCTCTAAAGCCATCTAGCGGCATAACCGAAGACTCTGACGCTAAGAATAATCAGGATAAGAGGACGGAGGGGGACGATGCGCCCCCAGTGGTTTGGACCCCTAAGAGTGCCGGCGCCAGTCCTACCACAGAGCGGAAGGAGTTTCGGCCAATCAGCTTCCAGTCTCCAACACTGCCAAGGAAGAACAGGAGTGCCACCTCTGACGTGAGTTTGCAACTGGGCATTAATGAACTCCAACCTAAAAAAAAACAAAAAAACACAGGGTTACTCGTTTTCAGATATTTTCTTTGTTGTACTTCATAATTCCTAGTAGACATCGCAATGCAGTGGGAAAACTCTGCTGTCTTTTATTCTGTAGTCTTCCGGTTCGAATATTATCCTGGGGATCGGATATCCCGTTTTGAAAAGTTTTCTGGGGTTCCTCGGTTATTATTTAGTGTTCTGTCTGACGACAGGTCCATATGAACAGGGTCCTTCCATCCTTTTCTCGGACTGGGACCTGTTCATATACGTTCTTGGCAGATGATCCAGAAGTGGTTTGCCATTGCCTTCTTCTGTGTGTGAATGGAGTAATTATTGGGATGCCACGGAGGAAAACTCCGCGTTGCCTAGACCACGGCCTTGCCCAACAAAAGTTATAAATTCGAACCCGAGACCCCAGGATTACAAGGCCAGCGTTCTAACCGCTACACCACCTCATCTTATTATTATT